TATATATATATATATATATATATATATATATATATATATATATATATATATGAATGAAAAGGGAGAACAGTATATGTTTTCACATGCAAAGAAAGAGGCTGGATTTACTATCTTGTCATCTGATCTTGGCCACCCACCTCTTTCCATGGTTCAATGTTCAGAGATAAAGATGAAAGGGAAGTGCAACTACAATCATCTGCAGGGTCAAAAAAAATTAAGAAGAGTGGAAAGGGTAAACTGATGCTAGCTAACATCATTGATCACTTCAAGTACATGTAGCTCCATATGTAGGCATGCTTAGTTTCAACAACTCTATGTTTGAGCCCTTGGTAGAACAATCCTTGAGCAACTTGGCATGTACTGTAGTTGGTGAGGACCATCATAAAAATGATGGTTACTAACTTCAATTTAAGTTTGTGTAGTATGTGACTATATATATCTTCAAAATCATTGCTTTGACATACAATTTGTTGCTGAAAGATTGAAACATGCTTCAAGAACTCATGGAAAGATTCATCTATTGATTCCTGAAGAACAAGTATATGTGATTGAGCTTTTTATGTCTCCTTGTTTAGCCACAACAAAGCTTCCTTTTGTATGACCAACTCTGCTAAAGGTGACCTAATTAGCTATTCATTTAAGTTGAAGTCACAGTCACAACATCAGCTAAGCATCAAGTAGTAGTAATGAATCATGTAGCTGGGTCACCCAACAGAAATGTTATGTGATGTTCTAGAGAGATGTGATGTCTGAGCTCCTTATTTGATGTCCATCAAAATAGTGGTTGGGTTGGGGCAAGAACACACCAGAAGACAGATCATTGGTGCAGGTATATCTGAGGTTTAGAGACACAGGATGAGCAAATTGTTGTTGCTGGGGTTTCACAAGTAGCCATCACTGGGACATGAAAATGGACACAGAATTTTAATGTGCTCCTCTCCTTCAAATGATTCCTGTGCTGGTTCTTATCCCTTGGAAGGTCCCACAATTACAAGCACAGTTTGTGTGTGCATTAAGAACACATATATGTTAAAGATTAAGTATTGTAGTGTTATATGGAACTCTCAATTAGTGCTGCATTTGGAGGTTAGCAGTAGAGATCAAATCATGTTGCTTTCTTTGATGAGCTCCATCCCATTGTGTGACCTGTTCCCATCATGCAATGCCCCATCAATCCACAAGTTCACTTGTTAAGCAGACAAAGCAATCACAATAGAGTAACAAAATCCAGTCTTTTGGACAACTCAAATTACTTGACTTTGAATCTTATCTCAAACACAAGAGAGAGAGAGAGAGAGAGAGAGAGAGAGAGAGAGAAGGGGAGGAGTATCTAAACTACAATGGTAGTTGGTGTGTTGCTTTCAAATTGGTATTGAACTTAAAAGTCTAAAATTGACAAGAGAGAAATATCTAATGCAATAATAATAATAATGTTAGTGATTTATAATTCTTAAGTTTGAATTTTTCTAATTAAAAAAGGGAAAAAAGTTTTCAGAGTTTAGAAAAAGAATGAATATAGTCTTATATTATAAAGATTAAGAAAGGATATATATAGTCAAACATGATGGCAAGGATATATATATGCTTATTATAAAGATTAAGAAAGGAAATGTCTTAACATTAAGTCATTAGATTACCAATGTGATGTTCTCTCTAATTATCTTCATAATTATCGGAATATAATGTGTTTTTGGGGCGAAGAGTAACGGAGACGAACGTTCCGTCGGGGGAATCGACGGTGCAACATTGGCGCCGGGGAACGGCGTCACGCCGCTACTGTCAAGTGGTCAACGTCGACGTCACACGTGCGGACCGTAAACCGGGCCATGATTGATCTAATGGGCCTTGAGATGGTCACATATGGGCCCATTTGCAGCGGAGCCACGTGTCACCCCGTGGCATGCAGTATGCAATGTCTGCATGCTTCCAAGTGCTCCCGACTACTAATCAGCTTTCTTCTAGACGAGAGAGAGAGAGAGAGAAGAGAGAGAGAGAGAGAG